ACGGACGAGTGTCTGATTATGTCATATTCTCCCCCGCGAGTTCTTAATTTTCTTCAATCCTCCATTTTCCCTCCATCCTGCGGGGGAGACGACAAAAAAATTGCTTTTCTCGTCTCCCCTTTTTTTTTCTTTTTTGGATTTTTTATTTTCATCCGACATTTCCTTGCATTTCTCTTATTGCCATTATTATTATTTTGCGCACAAAGGATTTTTTTTTACACAATACAGATACACATATAAATGTACACGTCTGCAAAACTTGCATCAGCATCAGGAAATAGGTACAAGGGTTAAATGGAAATCTTTGTGAAAAATTGCTTTTACTTTTAATTAAAATAAATACAACATTTTTTATTATATTTTTACATGAATTTATATAAATGACAAATATCAATTTTAATTACTTTTTATAACAAAAACAATAAAAAAAAAACGCTAGAATATTCATTAAATGTTACGTTTATTCTTTCATCTTACAAAAAAGTGTTAAATCTTGACTTTGTAATAGTCTATTACTTAACGAAAGTATGTTAACAGTAAATTAAGAAACTAAAACAAAAATATGCAAAAATCAAGTAAGAATAAGAAAAAAATGTAAATACTTGTAGAAATAGATGTTTAATATCTATACTAATAGTAAAAATTTATAACAAAAAAGTTAAAGTTGACAAAATTTGAAAAATCTAATTAGTTGTAAAAATAGTAAACCAATTGAAAGTATCCAAAATTAGATGAGATAACTTACATCTAATTACTTATAAAACAGTAATCTAACTATATATAATAAACATGATAATTGAAATTAGTAAAAATTGAAAGAAATGTAAAAATATCTAATTAATTCATGAAATAATAATGCAATTTAAAGTAGTGAAAATCATAAATCAAGAAATTAATCATTTATCAAAATTTTTAACGTCCAAAATTGATAATTTGATTGAAAATGCTTAAAAAATATGTTTTTTTTTGTCTGTTTTGTTTGAGTAATCATTTTACTTATACTTTTGTGACGACTATATGAATTTATAGTTAAATCTTGAGAAAATTTCGTAAGTTGTGAAGATAAAAGAAATTGTGAATGAAAAGCAAAAAATCTAATTGAAATTAGTAAAAATTGAAAGAAATGTAAAAATATCTAATTAATTCATGAAATAATAATGCAATTGAAAGTAGTGAAAATCATAAATCAAGAAATTAATCATTTATCAAAATTTTTAACATCCAAAATTGATAATTTGATTGAAAATGCTTAAAAAATATGTTTTTTTTTTTGTCTGTTTTGTTTGAGTAATCATTTTACTTATACTTTTGTGACAACTATATGAATTTGTAGTTAAATCTTGAGAAAATTTCGTAAGTTGTGAAGATAAAGTTGGATGAAACGGCAAACTTCGTTGGATGTGTAATTAGATGTAAAATGATAATAACAGAGTTATTACACTTTTATTTGATGTCGAAACTCTCGTCAATTTAGCATCGTCTCATTATAATTGCTTCCAATTTCGCGACAAACCGTCTGAACTAATTGCGACCACCGAACGCCAAACAAAGAGCCTCGAAAAGTTCGAGGAAAGTAAATAAATAATAATCATCATCATCAACAGAAAAGGGAAAAGAAAATATTAAAAGGGAGTATTTCTCCAATTAAAGCAGTTTTATCTTCATTTTCAGGACCCTCTCCTCTCTTCCCAAAACCTCTCTCTTTCTCTCTGTTTATTTTTTGGTCCTTTTTTATATTATCTTGAAGCACCCACCCTATTCAATGCACATTCGGCAAATAGAAAACGCAATTGAATTCTCTATACACATCGCTCGAGTGGTATCTGCGCTCCTTTTCTTCTTCATCCTCGCAGCTTCGAATCTCATCGGCGGTCGCTTTTTATTCCTTCCTTCCTTCCTTCGCCCTCCGCATTATTTCGTTTCTTTTGTTTGTTATTGTCGTCTGCGAAAGAGATCCTCGAGGGCGCGCGGAGTGCGCACCACTTGAAGAGCTCCCAGAGCCGCACTCGAAACCGTCTCCGTGATGTTGATTGAGGTGCTTAATATGTGTGTGTGTATGCAGACGAATGGGAAGACAGGGACGATGATGAGGGATGAGGCTGCGATAGGATCGGATAGAGTAGAAGAGCATGATGATGATGATGGTCGGTTTTGGTACCGAAGAGCTTTGTATATTGATAAACAGGATTAATGTTTTTATTTTTCCGTTCTTCTCTCGTGGTTTTCATCGGTAATGAGGGATAACGCGAAGCCGACAGGCAAAGAATTAAGCGTTTCCTTTATACAATTAAAATACTTTCCAGCATCTTCCACTTCTTCTATAAACTTAAATTTAATATTGTAACAACTAATATCACTTTTGTCATTGTTTTCTTAAATAAAATAAAAAGATGAATTAGAATGGTACGAAGGTAATAAAGTAACATTGTTATATAATAAATTTAGTATTTGCAAAAAGAAAATATGCGAATTGTACATAATGTAATTTGTGGATGTAGGTTACAAAAAGGAAACGAAAATATTTATTTTTTGGTGCTTAAAAGCAAATGGCGCCCCCGGCGAGAAACGTATGACGGCCCCTCGTCCAAAAAAAAAATAAATAACCGCCCCTGTCTCAACGCGCCCCAAGCAACCTTACCTCGTATCGACCGTTTTCCTACTACTTTCGTATAAAGTTTAACATTAGAATTTAGAAAAAAAACAGTTTTCAACAATCGACAAATTTCTTAAATCTAGCTCCAAAGTTTGTTGATTTGATAGTTACATAAATGTTCCCATTGAAATAACATTAGATCTATAATAGATAGAATGGATACAAAAGATGTATATGAAAGTTGGATATTTGGGGAATATAACATGTATTCAAATATTGCTGTGATTTCATCCATTTACTTGTAATTTGCGTACAAAAATGAAGTAACGAAAAAGCAATGACTTCACATTTTAGTGATTTTCTCAGAAACTATAATAGATATAACTGATCCAAAAAATGCATATGAAAACTGGATATTTGGGGAATGCAATGTGTATTCAATTATTGATGTGGTTTCATTTCACCTGTAATTTGCGTACTAAAATGAAGTAATGAAAAACAAGTGACTTCACATTTCAGTGATTTTCTCAGGAACTATAATAGTTAAAACTAATCCAAAAAATGCATATGAAAACTGAATATTTGGGAAATGCAATGTGTATTAAATTATTGATGTGGTTTTATCGATTTACCTGTAATTTGCAAACTAAAATTATGTAATGAAAAAGCAGTGACTTCACATTTCAGTGATTTTCTCAGGAACTATAATAGATAAAACTAATCCAAAAAATGCATATGAAAACTGAATATTTGGGAAATGCAATGTGTATTTAATTATTGATTTGGTTTCATCCATTTGGTTATAATTCAAAATAAAGTAATAAAAATACTTTAAACATTATTGACTAAAGTAAATAATAAATATTTTTTTTCGGAAAGTTTTATTTATTGATTGGCTATTATAAAAAAATCAAATAACAAATCAATAGTGTTTTAATAATTACAATTATTTGTATTTTATAGTGTATAAGTAAATGAAAATCAAGATCTGTAAGAAATTATGAAACTTCGATTATAGTAGTTTACTGTGAATCATTACATATCGAATTTAGGTTAATCTAAGAATCTGTTTTATTCGCTTGAAAAAACAAGACTTTTTTAATATGTTCATATAATGCGGATTATCATGATTAATTTCCAGCAGGTTTATGCGATTATTTGTCGACATTTATTTTTACTTAGTAGATGTTTTTTTGTGTGTGTATATAAAAAAAAAAGGTGTATTAGTGAATGATAAGGGATGATATTGCGGCGATCTGCTCGTCATCGTCATCCTATCGACATGTGACGGTCACCTAGCAACGTGGAGGTTGCCCGAGGCCGTTGCCAGGCAACACCCAGGTGTCGCAGCCTCCAATCATCACGCCGCATCTCAAGATCAATGTTTGAACAGCTATGGAGATTGTGCTCTCTCCGCTATATACTAAATATATATATATATATACATACACAACCGATTGCTCCCCCAAAATGTCACCCCATCTTTTCCCCTCTTTTTTTTTGCGACCATTTCATTCCGACCATTTCTGCTTTTCACTCTTCTTTTTGCACACAATCCCTCGTATTTACCTCGCTCTCATTACGACGCTATGGATAAATGCTGAAATGTGTCGTAATAATACTACAAATCCTATAAGAAGACAAGCAATGAAATAGAAATTAATATTTAAACCTTAATTCATATATTATAAAATCCATCAACTATATTACCTTCTTCTCTAAGTCTACTTTTACATTTCAGAAATATTGATTATTATTGATTATATATTGATTATTGATTATTCAATGAAATGAATAAGATTTAAAGCTTTAAACGTACAATGGAAAATATTGTAATTGATGGTCAAATTCATTAAAAATTGAATTGACACAAAACAACAAATTAATATCAATTTAAGATTTAATAAAATAACAAATTTCTTTGAATTTTATTAGCTTCTCGTACATTCCAATTCTTCACCAAATATTTATTGCTACTTAATTTTCTTAACTATTATAACAATAAATTGCACATTTTCATTTTTGTTTTTCAACATCTTATAATTAATTAAATATCATAGCAATCACCGAAAGAATTTGTTAATTAAAATTAATGTTGTATAGTATGGAATTATTTAGTTATTATATTAGTACAACATTTTAAAAATTGTGAGAAGTTCAAATAATGGTATATTAGCGCTACCTATGGACATATTACCAAAGGATTGCTTTGGTTTTTTGATGCTTATGCAACCAAAATGTCTCTTCATTATTTTATGATGCAAATAAAATTATACTTTGATCTTAATGATTTTATATATTAAATAGTTATTAGAAGGATAGTTTCTGGTTTTTAAATAAAAAATTATTTCAATGTAGTTCTTTTTAAAATCAAAGCTGTTCTGACATTTCATTTGAACTACTTGCACTGACAGTTAATAAACCCAAAAGTTTCCTAACAATAATATGATTCGTTTTTAATGAAAATGGTTTGAAAACCGGTACTCTTTAATACAGTTTAATCAAGGATCTTTAAAATGAGTGAAAATTTGGAGCTGCAGCAGTTGGTCGATGAAGAGCTGGAAGAGGAGGTTAGATTAGCACAACCAAAGAAATGCCGATGTCCATACCTGGGATTGATACTTGCCACCCTGAGTTCCCTGTTCTTCTCCCTATGCTCAGTGATCGTCAAATGGATGACTGATGTGGATCCGATGGCCTTGGCAGCTTACAGATATCTGGGAGTATTGCTACCAGCAATACCCATAGTCATATACAAAGGGGAACCACTGTTCCCCAAAGGCAAGAGAATAATGTTGCTGTTGAGGTCCTTCACGGGAACTGCAGCGTTAATGTTAAGTTTCTATGCATTCCGGCACATGCCTTTAGCAGATGCCAGTGTTATTGTGTTTTCAGTTCCAGTCTTCACAGCGATATTCGCCAGGATGTTCTTGAAGGAGCCGTGCGGTTTATTCAATGCTTTCTCAGTTGTCGTCACTTTAATTGGAGTCATACTGATAACTCGGCCGCCGATATTATTCAGTGAGACTGTTGAATCGTTTGGGGATTCCAATCAGAAGACCGGAGTCTGGAGCGCCGTTGCTGCATTCTCGGCTACTTTATTTGGAGCTAACGCTTACGTCCTGCTGAGAGCGCTCAAAGGAATCCATTTCTCAGTGATCATGACTAATTTTGGATCGTTTGCTTTAGTGCAATGCTTAATAGTCACTTGGGCTATTGGGGCTCTGTGCATGCCCAGATGTGGTACAGACAGGCTTCTTATAGTAGCCTTAGCGTTTTTCAGTTTCCTGGGACAAATCCTGCTGACTTTGGCTCTGCAATTGGAGCAGGCTGGACCCGTAGCAATAGCGCGAAGTTCTGATATCGTTTTCGCATTCATCTGGCAAGTGCTCTTCTTCAAAGAAGTCCCCAACTCTTACTCAATCATTGGAGCCATTCTAGTCATGAGTTCGGTACTACTTATAGGCTTACGCAAATGGATTATGACTCTACCAGAGAATTCTAGTCTTAGATATAAGTTTGGTATATTAGCTAAGTAATTTTGTTTTAGTTCTAATTATTTGTTAATTGTTGTCCAACGATTTTATTTTTTGTTTTATTTATTTTTCTATAAACCGTGATTTGTTTTATTATGTGATCATTTCTAGTCTGATTTTATTAGTCAAAAACTTAGCAGGTATTTTCTAAGTAGATAATGAGTTTGAAATTCCCTTGAAACTTCCTGTAATCACTAATATATATAAATACGATATGTTCATTAACATTTTCACACTTTTCATAAGAAGCGGGCTTTCATCATTCGCTATTTTCAAATGAAGTTGCAACCAAAACAAATAAATTTCAAGAAGAAAAAAAAAACTTCACTTTGCACATTCCCATTTATGTATTAGAACGCTGAAGCAAAGAAATACAGCTTTTGCAACTTCATTTAAATTTATAATTGTTTAACATGTGTATCCTCTCATCGCCATAACTATTTGTAATGTATCCATTGAATCTAATGTATTTTGTGTGTGCGAAGCTGTGAAAGCGTCGAAACGTTTACGTGTAATTTCTCTTAAATCCAAAGTACTTAATTCGACTTTACTTTGTGCAGTTGTTGCAAAGCTGATGTGGAAAAAAAATGATATTTTTTCATTGCGTAAAGATTGAAAGCAATTTTAGCTGTATTACGACATGGACCAAAATTTATTATAATTGTAACATTGGAAATGAAAAAATAATGAAACGATATTGTATATCATCATCATGAAAAGCCTTAAATAAAAAAAAACTTTGAAAATGTTTAAAAAATTTAATTTTTATCCTTAAAATTTAAATAATTCCTAAAAAAAATTGTTGTGTTCTGAAATTGTGAAACATAGAGGATGATTTAGGGTTGAAATAAATGGAAACAGATTGAAAGAAAAATATGAATTTTATTATTTTGCTTCACTTTCATATTTATTTACCTTTTTTTTAAATTATAATACTATTTTATTATATTATTATTACTTTACAATATATCTTTTAAGTTTAAATTTAATATCAATTGATTTATTAATAATAATAATCGATAATCCAATAAGAATTACATAGAAATCAAGAGAAAAAAAATGCAGTAGTAGAAAAGTAAAAGATTTTTCTCCTCCACTGTCCAAAAGGAGGCAAACGTATAAAACAAAAAGAAACAAACAAAGACATCTTTTCTGTTTATACATCCATCCGTCCATCTTCCTTTCCGTTACTTATTCTTTTTTTGGTGTGTAATTATTGTCTGCGAAAAAGGTAATTTCCAAATCGTTACCTTTCAACCGTATTCCCATTCGAAGAAAACGAAAGTATACAAAAATGCATCGAAAACGAAATGCTGCATTTCCCTTGCATTCCTTTCAAATCAAGAGTTAAATCTTTTTTTTTTGAAAAGGGAAACGCTTAAGTAGAATCAACAAATTGAACGAAAACTTTGGTGCTTGAAAAGTGGTGATGTGATGGTGGATTTGTGAAGATAATAAATAAGAAGTCTACGACGAAAGAAAAACGTGTTTCTGTGTGTATGAGAAGTCGTGATGAATGTGATGAAACAATGAAGAAATAAACGAGTTCAACATAATAAGTAAATAACGTAATAATTAAAAGAAAAAAAAAACAAATTATATAAAAAAAACATATATGTACAGTGTGATTCTCATTACTTCCTTGTTTTTTTTTTATTATTATAATAATCATAATATATATACTAATTTTTAAATTATATAAAACAATTTTTTTTCCGTCGAATTTACAAATTCGTAAAAAGAAATTGGTTTTCCTCTTCACCCTATTATACTCTCATCTAATTAATATATAAATATTGCGAAACATTTTACAAAAAACCCGAAAAGTAGCTTTAGACAACTCAAAAAATATGTCCATTTGTAAGCTTAATCTTAAACTCCCGACGAGAGTGGAAAAAAAAATACACCTCTACTTGGAGTATTTATTATTTAGTACGTTTGTAAATTCAATTCATGTAACATTTTATTTTATTATTATTTTTTTTGGCATTTAGACCTTAAGAACTACGTCAATCATCGAAACGTTTGTTTAAATTGTTTTTTTTTTTTGGTAAATAGATTGTCGAGTAGTGCGAACGTGTAAATTTAGTAAGCTTAATTTAGTAAATTCAACGGAATGAGAGCTCTCCTTTTTTTTTCATTATTTTGGTCAGATTTCAGCTACTTTCTTCTTCACTTTAGAAATAAGTTGCGCGCCCTGAAATGCTTCTTGTTTGTTTTGGTTAAATTGAATTGCAGTGAACGAAATGAGAGAAAAAAAATATATAGTACACATGCAAAATCCCTTGTTGAGCGAAATTCGAGTTATACATCCCATATATATATATAAATTAATAAATAAATAAATACACTCTTTTAAAAAAAAAACGAAACCGATGGGATTAATCCCAACTTCATTATTATTTTTCTTTCTTGTTTTAAACTTAACAATTTCTTCTAATGCTGCTCATTTTCCTTTTCGCAAGCGGACGCGCAATATTTAATATTTATATTATACTCCATTTCTTACTCATAAAATATAGAAATTCTTTACAAAACTTTCTTTCTTTCTTTCTTCATTTCTCCTACAAACTATTGGTGCGACTTTGATTCGAAAATTGCTTTCATATCCTTGATGCAATAAGAAGGCGACGTTTTTTCTTTCCTGAAAAAGAAACAAATGGAAATCAGTAATGAGGATTGACATTTGTTTCGATGAAATACTAACCTAGGTGGTTTTGAGTCTAAGCTAACCCTCCTATTATTAATATCTGAATCATTTTTAGGATCCCTTTCTCTGGTTTCGAAAGTGTGTCGATGCCTATCGACAACGTCGCGACGCTTGTTCCTCAGTTCTACCTCGCCAAGATCAGTATTCTTTTTAGATTCGAAAATTGCAGTTTTAGAACGAATGCTCGATCTCTTGGGTGATCTTAGCAACACTTCTTCGTTCTCGATCTTGCTGAAAGAGCGACGCGCTTCTTCGAACTTCTTTTCCTCCTGCTGTGTGATAAGGACAGGGATTGTAACAGGAACGGGTTGTGGAGGTGCTTCGACGATTTCCTCCTTCGGTTTAAACACCTTGATCCTTGAAAGTAGCACGTCTTTGTCTTCTTTGAATGACTCGGAACGGTACTTTTCGTTGAGGAACTTCCGTCTTTCTTCCTTGTACTTCTCTATCCGCTCCCTGTTCAAGTTCTGTTTCACGCTTTCAACGCTGTGCGCTAAATGCACTTTCAAATCATCGTTTTCGTCTGGCAGTTTTTTGGGCTTGTTCAAGCTCTTAGGCAAACTGTTTATTTTGTACGTGAGGGTCTCATCAAAGGACTTACGACGGTTCAAGCTATGAGTCGAATCGAACTCTTTCCTAAACTCCTCTTCGTCCAAGCTGCGTGTTTTTATAGCGTTCTTTAAATTGCGAGCTCTCAGACACGGCGGAAGCGAATCCCGTGACTTCTTTAGCGCTTCTGCATCTGCTTGCTGCTTCGGAGCTCTCATCTTCACTGCATTCGAGTCTACAACTTCGAATTTACTGGTTAAACTTTTCACGTCTACCTTGTCTAAAGATTGCTCGCTGCTTTCATCTTGTACAACATTTTCTAAATTATTACTAACACTAACCAATTCCACGGCTTCCGGCGTATTCACTCCGTTTATTTCATTTTGATTTTCCCCATTTGTCACAGGCACAGCATTCAAAGTCTTCGTATCTTTAACAGCAATATTTAAATCGAGTATCAATTCCTCACTTACAGCTACGTCAGTCTGGCAATTCGAGTCTTTCTCGAGAATTTCTATATTGCTTTTCGCCATCTCTAGCGAATCGGAACTGAAATCCACGTTCTCGTAGACGTTCAAAGATCGATTATCTTCCAAAGAATCCAATTGCGCTTCATCCTCTACATCCTTTCCCAAAGCTAGCAGCTCATTAATCTCATGCACGGATCGCCTGAAATACTTCACTTGTTGGTATATCGTATCATCCTGCTTGCGTTTCTCGTTGTTGGGACTCTTGACTTCTTCAACCATAGGACTGAACTCAATTAAATTTATGCTTTTCGGTCTGTCGACTTCCAAATTCATTGATTTCTTCCGAAATTCTACGTTGTCGTAGTATCCACCAGCTGGTGGAAACTGAACAACTTCATAGACTTCATTCGGTTTAGAATCAGGAGCTTCGAGAGCCCCAGTTGTTCCACCCAAACATCCCAAACTGGATCCACTATCAAAGCAACTGAAAGCCTTTAACGTCCCACCGCCAGTCTCCAAACAAGTTAAATCTACTTTCGAATTTTCGTAATCTCTAGCAATTTCGTCGTACGTTTCGTATAATTCGCTTAAATTCGTATCACATTTCGGAAACGAGTCGTCCTGATTCGATGTACTGGTAGAACTCTCTTGAGTCGTATCCTCTAAACTAGGATTCTTCGAAATCGTCAAACTATTCGGACTCACGTTAGGACTCATTGTGCCTCTCGTTGGAGTCAGTGGTAAAGACACCGAAGTCCGATTACTGTCAATATACTCTGAGGAACTATTCAGGACCTCGCTCAAACTGAGATCAGTCAAACTATTGTTCTCGACGGTCGATTTTAGATTTTGGAAGAGAGTGTCTATATCAGTCGGCGTACTTTTCGGATCTAAATCGTTTAAGCTTTTAGGCCTTTTGTCGTCGTCGATGCATTTGGCCTGTTGCACCGGTAGATTAGCCGTGCTCGTTGGTATTTGAGCACTTTCAGCTCTGCTCTCGTATGTCGGTGGATCACTCTTATTAGAAGAGAAAGATTTCGTTGGAGATTTGTACGTGATGCTTATCGTGGTTAATACGTTTTCGTAATTAGGGCTCTTCGGTACTTTGATTGGAGATTTATTTAGCTTTTGGTAGATAATCTCTGCGCTTGGGCTGAAATCTCCGGGAGTCGTTGAACTTGAATCAATTAGCTGCTTGTAGATTGGTGACTGGGGAGTGGGCGTTGTTGACCTATTCAGTTTTCCTTCAGTTACGGATTTGGGGATTACCACGGAATTTGAACAGGTCTTCTCCAAATTCAATGACTGTCTTTTAAATACTTCAGAACTTCGCGGACTTTTATTCTTCGGCTGGTACATATCTATAGGAGTGATATCCTCTTCAACGTGAATAACTGCTGTTGTTGATACGGTTATATTATCCGGAGTACTGCAGTCTATAAACTGAATATCAGATAGTTGATCCTCCAATCGAGTTCGTTTTCGCGATAAACAGTCAGGAGACATGACGACTCTAGCTTGTTTTTTAGGCGAGGGATTGATCGAGTTTGTCGCGCTCAGGTATTCCTCAGGTCTGGCGCGAGTTAATATCCTCCTTTGCGCCTCCTTGTGTATCCTTGGTGAACTTACCAGACTTTCGTCCTCCGAGAATATCCGCATTTCGCTTTCCTCGAGTTCAAAGTTTAATTGAATTTCGCTCAGATCTAGTAAGGAACCCTCGGAATTGTTGTGCGAACTCTGCAAGGTGTCAAAGTACGAATCGTGCGACACCGACCTGTTATGTCCAGGTGGCTTGTTCAGGCAATGCAGGGGACCCAAGATGTCGATATCATTCGAGGCCGGCTCAGAATGACCGGAAGTCAAACTTTCCGCTGATTTAACCGAACGCAACTTGCGCTTAATGTCCGTCAAATCCGATTCCGTTACAGCTTTTTCCGGGATCACTATCCCCGGCGTCGACGCCTTCCTCGGTTTGTTCAGCACACCTTGAGATGAATTCCTGTTTCTGCTGAAGAATGACCTCCAACCCATTGGAGACCTTTTAGATAATCCTCGCTTTCGTGCACCTTAAATAATCGAATCATATTAAAACATGTACTTAGCATGTATTAAACGAGTATAAACATACCTGGTGGAAGATCGATGATCGTGTGATACTTTTTGGGAAGACTATCTGGCCCACCGCCAACCTCGATGTAGCTGCATTCCTTATTCAGTAGATGTTTCGATCTGGCCTCTTCCAAGGTAATCAGCTTCGTCGGGGTTGATATTGCCAGGCTTTTTGGTCTGCAACGTTTTGGGGAGGCCACGGCCACCTCGGCCATGGGTCGATCCAAATTCGGTAAATTATCACAGAAAATCAAATCGGTATAGCAGATTAGGAACTCCGTAACGACGGCCTAAGAAATTACAAAATTTAAAATTTATATTGCAAATGGATATTTCTCCACTGGAAAATTACCTGCACTCCGACACCTTGCAGAGCTGCTACTCCACCGACTTCCAGTTCGGCGCATCGCAATAGATTAGGTGCCCACACAATTGCAACGTTACGTGTTGTCATTCCAGTGCTATGTCCATGTTTGGCTACACGCGCCAAATGCCTCATCAAATACTCCAACGTCCTAACAAAATCAATAAATTATATTAATAAACAACAAACGTTGAAATAACATTATATCAATTAAGCTATTGCTTATTAATGATTAAGTTTATTATTTGGAATGAAACGTACCTGTAATGTGGCGGCGGTAATTTTTGTACAGACTCCCTCATCTTGAGCAGCCTTTCGTGATCAGTCTCGGAATTTTGGATCGAGGTCTTGCAGCCCTGGACCGCGTTCACAAAGCTTTGGTATAGTTGATAGGTGCACAGAGGATTCGGTAATTCACGGAAGTACATCTTCAGTAGCGAGGCAACGGAGTGGATGTCCTGCAGGATATCCTCGGTGTAGAGATTCGGGATGCGGTCCTCGTCGAAGGCGTTACGAAGCTTCTGTATATTCGAGGTGACTCCGGACAGCCGGTAAATGCCATCCACGATGCCGTGGGTCTCTATGAATTCGGCGCAGCACTTCAGAACCATCGGTATCTCGTGTCCGGAATTGAGTAGATGTTCTCCAAGATCGCAGCCAAAGACTCTCTCCTTCAGGATGCCGCTCTGCTTCAGACGACGACGTGACGGTCTGTTCAGAATGAAGCTTCGGAAGAAGGCAATGAGTTTGCCGTGCTTTCTCAGTACCGGCTTGATGGGACTCAGGGCTAGGGAGCCGACGACCGGGGCGGGAAGAGGCATGTTCCTAGGGACTTTGTCGCCGATGATGTGTACGCAGTGCTGGGGGAAGAAGCCCACTTGGAAGCCCCTTTTACCTCGCCACCAGATCGACTCGCCCGGACTGGCCATGTCGATCACCGAGATCATGTCTCCAACTTCGAGGTTCAGCTCGTCCCTGGCCTGCGAGACGTACCGGCGGACGCTGTAGGCGGCCGCGACCGCCGGCGTATTTATGGACCTACTCTCCTCGCTGGGCACGAGAAGTCTGTGTCCTTTATTGTCCATCTGCAGCCAGTTCAAGACCGGGCCACAGTTGACCGAGTTGTCGGCGATCTCGCAGAACCTGTTCAGGAATACGGAGAGCGTCGTCTCTTCCGGTTCCTCCGTTTCCGGACAATGACTAGAATCCGACGAGAGGTCCGGCAGCATGGATATCTTGCGGTCGTAGATACACTGATGGAGCTGCGAGTCCAGCATCCTGAAGTTCTCCAGATTCCGCTGCAGCAGCCAACACTCGTCGCCGGACGTCACCTGCACCATGTGCCATTCACCATCGTCGTGAGCTTCAATAAGACAAAGCAAAAGTCGAAATTAAGATCGGGAGAAAGAGGAGAGAAACTCTTCACTGGCTGGCAGCAACAATACAACAACAACTATCGGTGGATTGATTGCGGAAGGAAACGATCCGCGGCGCAAGCACAATGATTACGCAACCGGCGGCCGTGCATTCGAATGGAGGATTACTAATGAATTTATGGCTGGCATAAATGGGATTCGGACGGCGCGCTTGTGCATTCCAGCAAATCGCTGAAGAACCAACCATCAACTTGCTAATTGCGCGAGCAGTACGAGGATGGACGCACGGAGGATGAGAGTTAAGCTATTATACAACTGCGAAAACGCCTGGACTTTTGTTCCCTTTAATCAACTCGTAAACAAAGGCTACAAAACTAATTAAAACGACATTATGAAACAACGCACACAAACGGACGCACACATGTGTTGCGGTACAGCAGCTTTGCATTTTGAATAAATTCTCTGAAAGAAAAGAAGAAACAACACGCACACTAGAAACTAGAAACTAGAAACCTCCCGATGTCTGTATGTGTGTGTGTATGCGTGCATCACCAATAAAAAGAAATCCTATATCCTTGTTCATTCAGCAGCAGCGAAACTTCTTTTAAACCCTCCTCATCCAACCGAAATACTTTCGTTTCTTTCGTTTCCATACCATTAAATACCAATAGCATTACGTAAAGTACATCGAGATTAAACTGGCGGATATTTACTTAGGCAAAAAAAAAAAGGAACTAACTTCCAAAATTAATATTTAATTGTTTTCTAAATGCGAGGTCGTTAGCAGTCTTCGGTCTGATGCGCCACGAAAATATAGACTATGTAGAGGAGAATCCTTTCATCCGCGTTTCTTCTCGATTAAAATATTAATAGAACACCATGTTGCAACCGCTCTACGCCAATAAAGGTTATAATATATTTATAGAACCCGAATTACGTAAAGTAAATCAACTTTAAAAATAGATTACTTTAAGGAACTTACTTCCAAAATTAATACCTAATTGTTTTCAAAACCATTAGAAATTCTTCGCTCCGACGCTTTATAAAAATACGTCTGTCGCTTGACATCTAAATCGTCGTAAAACCAGGGTAAATGAGGTAAAACTTTAAGAATATTTACTTAGAAAAGAAGTCATTTTAATTTAAACTTAAAAATATTTATTTTAAAACGTGTTAAAATGTAGTAGCAATAAACTGTTGTATAATTTACGAACAACAAAACAAAAAACATTATTTTAATTTAAATGTTAGTGGAACAAGAAACTAGATTAGCATAGAAAACTCTATTTATTGTAATAATACATGAAATTTTGCAAAATTAAACTGGTTAAACGGTCGTAAAAGGTAATCCAAGCAAGTTGCAAGAATTAGTACAATGCAATTTGTAAACTAGTTACTTACATATAACGCTGCGAGCTTAAGTAATAAAAATGTTAATATGGAGCCAACGCTATGCGCATTATATAATCGTCGATTCTCGCATGCGTATAAATCGGTGGTATATAACGGTAGTGGAAATTAGAATATATACACTATTGAAGAAACCGAATAGATAACGTTCCCTCCAATAAACAAAACGTAGAAGTGAATTGGGCGAAGTCTTAAGTTTTATTGGATCAAATTTTGTTATGCAAACATGCACGATGCGAGCGGAATACAGTAAACGTTGGCGCAAGTTGTGAGTTGAATTTTTATGGTAGTTGTACATCAATTTATATATATGGAGTAAATTTATATATGTGCGAATTTAGATGTAGGTGGAAGAGTTGGATATTTGAAGTCGAATAAACTGTTTAATATGAAAATTCTAAATTTACCAGAGTTGATGGAAAACAATGTTAGGTATTCGCGTTCGCGCGCTCTGGGCATTTTCTCATGCATGTTTATTTGACGTGACGCTTTAAGTGTTTCAAAACTAGTTTTATTTTTGTGGTAATGAGAGTTTTTAGTGTCGATTAGCGAGTGTGGGTTAACAGGATTAAAGAGCGAAGAGCGCTAGATGAGCGTCTCTCTCTTCACTAAGCCTATACTACTCCTGCAATACCATCAGCCAGCAGCTTAAAACATCCAACTGCGAACTTGGTCTCATGCCCAGGTGGTTGGGCTTTGATGGAAAGCAGGAGGCATTCCGCATTTTCCGAGCGTGTTTACTGTTTACCAGTGGGGAGGCGCATTCCGAATTTTCCGAATGCTTGCGTTCGCATTGTCCCGAGACAGTCCAATACTACGAGACATACCTTCCGAGACGGCAATCCATTATGTAGGGTAAGAAATTATGTAGATTTCCAGACACCCACGAGGCATACCGAAGTAGCATTAAAATCAATTGCTATTCAGCGGCTCCGGCGAACTTCCCAAAGTACATGTCCACAAGTACACGACGGGCTTACTAAGTTTTAAGCGCTGTCAACTAAGTAGATTACGAGGCTTTGAGCATAGATATACTCCGATAATACGCCTACACACAGAAAATGGCATTCCGCATTTTCAACGCAGCTAATTATCTTCAAAGCTACATTTTCTACCTGTCCACTTATCCACAAAGTGTCGCAAAACAATTGTGTAACGTAGTTTGTCAGCTACCGTTTGTTTCTTGAGAGGTTTGCTGTTTTTTTTTTTGCGCAAAGTGAATGGAAACGAAGGAAGGAATAAAAAATACGTGCTTTCAATAATCGCCTACTTGGTCTTATGAAAGAACACTTTGTAGGAACGAAAACAAAACCAGCATTATGCGATATTATAGGCGGATCTTTGTTGGAATATTTGCAATTACCAACTACGTAATTTTTTTTTGTATGAGGAAATTCATACTATTTTCATTACCAGTGTTATTAAAAAGGATTGCTTGTGTCACAATTACTGTACAATAGAATGCAGATTATGGTAAACAAATATTACATTTACATATTTGATAATTAATTCTATAGTTAATCTTATTGAATATTTGTATCGCATTTCATTAATTCAATAATAAATTAATTAAAAATTTTAATTGAAAATTAAAGTCTGTACAAATACCAAAAAAAATAGGCATTTCTGCGAAAGCAATAAAACTAGTAGACGAAATCTTCTTGAAAAATAATATTTATCATCGCTTTTACTGTCCCTATTGGTACATGGAGAACCCAGTTTATTGTCGCTTTTACGGCTTGATTTCCTTTACGATGCAAACAAAGCATTAAAATAAAAATGTAGTTCACTAAATCAAAAAAAAAGAAGTTACAAAATCGAAGCTTCAGTTGTCTTCAAACAAAATTGTGTATTTTTAGAGAACATCAAAGACAAGAACCGAGCAGAATTCAAAATTTAGATTTTTACGTTGCAAAGTAAATTGCGTATCCGAATTTCAATAGTTAAAATAAATATTTCAAATATATAAAACGGAAATGTTTTGGTTAAGTACAAATAGGTCTTGATTTCAAATTAAGATTAGGTAAAGCTGCATTTCCGGCGACAGGAACAGGAAGCAGTTCGACTAAGATTAGAATGGAATCTATACGCTTTGTATAGATTCAGTTTACATATTTAAAAATATATAGATTTAAGTACTGAAAATCAATTATTTATAATCGAATTTATAACATAATAATTACAATTAGATAATTTATAAAACTTATCGAAAGATGAACATGCAAACGAATTATACTAATTGTTAATTCATTAATTAATTAAAGACATGCGTTTTTTTTCTGTATTATCACTGTTGTAAAGATGCAACGTACCAGATCAATTAAAATCTTCATTAGATTTACATGATTTCTATAATAACTTTTTAACAACTAATTGAGTAAAGGTCGTATATCCAGATGAAGAGTTACAGAGGAGCACACAACGTAATTTACCCACACGAACCCAGACATTGACAATTAAAAAGCATGCTTTCGTATGTATATTCAAAAGGATAAACGTAGTGAAGAGCATGAACGTTACGTCAGTAATTTATACGCATTAACATCTTGTGACATGGTCACAAGAAACGTTCCTAAGCGGCTATAATTATCACATTTACATGTGTACAGCAGTTTTTAATTCATACTTTCATTCAAACATGTAACGCACATTCATTCTCCAAGAAATTATTAACAACTTTCTTAAATTAAACTCAATATCAATGATTAAAACATTATTTTCCAACATATTTCTCTACTTACTTTATTTCTTAAATTCACCGAAAATGTTCACATATTAACAGACATTTAAAAACAGCTTAGTTTACGACTTCGCACTATTCGTGTGAAATAAATAAACATAGTAAAAGAATCGCGACAGCGACGAAACAAAGGAGAGATGTGATTTTTATTATTATTATTATTATTGCGAACCCCGAAAATGGAAAGGTGAAAACGAAGACAAACAAAAAAAAATTGGTTCAATTCAACGCCTAACCCGAATGCATTGTTGTTACAATTACATTTTAGGACAATTATTACTTTCATAATTCTTTGTGCTACTTTTTGTATTTACCATCGATTCTATTTATATGATCACGAAAGTTTCATTGCTTTACAATTCAAGCGAATCCACTAATGATTATAGAAATTATTTTTTATCGTCTTGAAATGTTATTACATTTTGAACTTGAGGAAAAATTCGGATTAAAAAGTGAAATATTTTAATTAAAGACACAAATTTCAACGAAAAAAATGTTTCAAATCGGAAGAAATTAATTATTTATTACATATAAATAAAAATTGAATATTTGTAAGAAAAATCAGTCAATACATTTTCAATTTTAAACGAAAGTTTCATAACAAAGTAATTAAGAAATTGCTTTCTTCTAAACATTTAAAGTAATATTAAATGAATAAATTTTATGAATTATGAATTAAATTAATTGAATTTTATGAATATCAACTAATAATTTTATCAACTTGTATTTCATATACATGTGTTTTTCGATAATTTCCATAAAATAAATAAAGAGAAAAGCAAAAATTTGAATTAAAATACTTGAAAACATGTTCACTAGACAATTTGAATTGATTTAAATAAAAAGAGTTTTGAAGAAAATCAGTATCTTTTGTAGAAAAAACTTAAGTGCTTTTAATTCGATACTAAAATTAGAAATGTTAATTAATGAAATAAACGAATAAATGTAAATTTACATATCAATTATTTAATATAAGTTGTTTTTAATTTTATAAGTTTTACATGAAAATTTACTATTCAATGTTTGAAGTGTTGTAGTAAAAAAAGAACAGACAAATTACATTTGAAATTGAAAAATATATTCACTACACAGTTTGAATTGATTTAAATAAACAGAATTGAAAATAATATTTTGAACAAAAAAAAGGCATCTTTTGTAGAAAACTTAAGAAAAAACTTAAAAATATTAATTAATAAAAGAAATGAATTAATGTAATTTAATATTATCAAAAAAATAGTTGTGTTATCTTTGATATAAGATGTCTTTAATTTTAAAAGATTTACATAAAAATACTGAAGCTATTCAATGTTTGAAGTGTAGTAAAGAAAGAACAGATAAATTACATTTGAAATTGAAAAACATGTTCACTAGACAATTTGAATTTAAATCAATTATAAAAAGAGTTTTGAAGAAAAAAAAAAGGCATCTTTTCTAGAAAACTTAAGTGCTTTTAATTCGATACTAAAATTAGAAATGTTAATTAATGAAATAAACGAATAAATGTAAATTTACATATCAATTATTTAATATAAGTTGTTTTTAATTTTATAAGTTTTATATGAAAATTTACTGTTCAATGTTTGAAGTGTTGTAGTAAAAAAAGAACAGACAAATTACATTTGAAATTGAAAAATATGTTCACTACACAGTTTGAATTGATTTAAATAAACAGAATTGAAAATAATATATTTAAGAAAAAAAGGCATCTTTTGTAGAAAACTTAATAAAAGAAATGAATTAATGTAAATTTAATATTATCAAAAAATAGTTGTGTTATCTTTGATATAAGATGTCTTTAATTTTAAAAGTTTTACATGAAAATACTGAAGCTCTTCGATGTTTGCAATGAAATAAAGAAAGACAAAGAAAACTGCGTTGACCTTAAAAAAACCGCGTTCAGCAGTGAGTGGCATATTTAATTTTAGGATAGGCCGTATGACGTCGCAAAATCAATACCACTTTGCCAATCGCTCCTTAATTACACTAATAGCTATCATTTTCCAAAGGGCAAACTAAAAATTACATGCAATTATTTTTTTGCACCATTAATTTAATTAAAATAAAGTGTATAATTTTAGAACAATATATTATATTACATCAACATTATAATAAGTATTATTTTATGGATGTTATTAAAAAGTTATAACAAAGATCGCGTCCGAAAATCGCATCGAGGTTGAAGAAACTTAACGCAAGGCAAATATTAAACGCGAATTTATGATACCGCAGTTAAGTTTATCACTACTAATCACACTCAGATGACCACACCTTTCAATTAGTCTTAATTAACGTCTGATACACATAGAACGCGATAATTCAATTACAAATATCACCTTCTCCTCTATATTTTCATTTTACCTTCCTTTACTTCCACAGCAATTTCATTGAAAAAACTGATTATTTATACATGATTCACACCACTTTAGTCCAATCAGACCTTGATGCAGAAAGGTGCAAATTTTCTTAACCTCCGAGCGCGTACACATAAAAAAAATAAATACACTACTTACTTTGTAAATAATTAAAGATAGAATCACAACAGATCGCGTTTTCTCTTTCTGCTCGGTTTCCGCTTACATAATGACAGATTTGGGAGGCACCTGCGATGGCCGGATATATAAATAAGAGCCGAAGTCGACTTGAAATTGGAGAGATCTCCAGACTCGAAATGCCTTTGTCGGTTTTTGTTTTCAAAAAGCAGATCGGGTTTGTTGTTTTCCTACATATCGATTGAAAATTCTCTGACCTTTAGAGAGCGAAAATTAACAAAAAATAAGCTATGCTATCAATCAATTTTATGATAGCACATTTATTTTCAAGGGCGTAAACAAATATTGCGTCGTTTCAACTTGATGTTAATTAATTTTAAATTGTGTGTGTGTGTATTA